ACCACATATCTCCTTGCCCCTCCTCTGCCTCATTCCCGGCTTGGCACCCACTACTGTGTGATCTCATCCCCTGGAAGAAGATAATATTTCATTAAGTGGAGTGAGAGGATTGCTCAGCTCATTTTACACCTTGTTGGAAGCAGCACTCCTTGCTGACCAGCAGCACTTGTACAGAAACAGCTATTCTCCATCTTGGACGTGGGTAGTTAATTCTGCCTCGTATAATATTTGACTCAGTACTTATACCTGTAAATTTTAATTTCATGGGATTTATTATCAGTTTTTTTCCTCCAAATCATCATGTTCATTTTGAATTTTTGATGTTTTACTGCATAAATTTGTTGCCCAGCCATGCATCCCAACTCGCCTCCAGTGTCAGAACTCTGCCGTCAGAGTTACTAGTTAAACAATGAGGTAGCCCTGGGCGCGGGACCCATCTCTGCCCTGCAGTTCAAAATGCCCCTCTCATAGCAGGGGTAGCGTACCAGTGCCTCATCAGCTGTACTCGGACCCAGCAGCGATAGAGTTTAAAGCATATTTTCCTTCATGTTTTGCTAACTTTGGAAACCCTCAGAACCACAAATTGTTGAAGTCTAGAGTTACACACAGAGACACAGAAGCCACGAATATGACCTGCTTTCTATCTTCTGGGCAGCCGTCGATTTGAGTCTATCAGAAAGAATCCTTCACCAGGGTCGCCTCACTGGCAAACACACATGTTCAACCACAGCTCAGGACTGAAAGCGCTCATGAATTCTAATAGCAAAGCAGCACACACTGCAGTGGGATCCCAAATGACAAAGGAGAAGAAAACTCAAACAAGAAGGCAGCGTGTCCTTTGGGGAGCTGGCACGCAGCACAGGCCCGACAATGCCGCAGGCTCCAGACCAAATGAAAAGTGCACCCAGCAGCATTACTGCCACGTCGCAGCTAAAAGCAGGTGTCCTTCCCTGGGCTCTCAGGGGCCTGGGCGCCCGCTGCTGCTGTCAGCACAATTATGTATATATGTGTGTTTTTCAGCAAGCAAGATTCTTAGCTTTCATCCACTTTCCAAAGGGATCCATGAATCGCTGAGAGCCAAGAAGCTCTGTTTGCTAGATGGACAATAATCCAAACTTCCAAAACTGATAAAATAGGTTGATGGGAATGGAGACAAGGAAAAGACTCAAAGGAAACAGAATGAACATTTACTGAACGTTAACCGTGTGTCAGAGTCTCTTGGAGACACCATCCAATCCTCCCAAGAACCCTCTAAGGTAGAGTGCTTGTTTGAATCCACATCTTGCTCTAAAGCCACCCACTGGCCTCTCTAAAGAATGAAAATGACTAGTCATTGAAGATTGATCAAAAATAAGGAGAAGCAAGCTAAAACAATGTGGAAATGGGATTTGCTATTCAAAACTGTAATGTAAATATTTTTTAAAAAATTAAAATCTTGTCTATAAAATGAAGTTGGGTGGGTAAGAAGCTGGATGTGGGATGGCCCCAGGGTGCAGCTTCTGCAAGGAATGGTTCTTCTTGAGCAAAAAGCTTTTGGAGAAACTGAAGATGTAAATGGAACAGTCAGGAGGCCCTAATGGAAGAGTTGGGGGTGGGGGGTGGTCGCTGTTGGGTCTATCATGGCATGAGATCATGTGTTTATAAACCAACATATTTGGTTGAACTAATTCCTCTTTTGCATCTCTCTACTAATTCATGACAGTCCTTCACTTGTATATATCATATTAAATTAGGGAAATTCTATATTATGCTGCATCTCTGCTTGGGTTTAAATATTATTTTCTTACAATTCCTCTTAGCAGAGTTCAACAGATACTCCTACCACAAAACCGAAGGTTTGACTTAGCCCTCAATGCTGCTTTCTTGATAACTATAAATTTAGAAATCCGTGTTGGTCATTGCTTTATGGAAATTTTTGTTTGGAGCATATTCATTGAACATTCAATAGAAATGTTCACAAAATTCTGGAGTTTTCCACATTCCTGGTTTGTTTGTTTTTTTCTTTTACCAGTATATCTTACCTAAAACAATACTATCATCTATTTGGAATATTCTGTTTGGGGGAGGCTAAGCAGGATTAATTCCTGTCCTGGTGTTGCAGTGTAAACAGCTTTTTCCTGTCTTTTGTCATTAATGATCATGCTGGAGATGTAGCCAGTGCATTGTAAGCCAATCTGTCAAGGCAAATAAACAATTCACCTTGTTAAAATTCCCTAAATCTTGCATTAATAAAACCAAAGTAACCCCCTGAACACTCAAGAGATGTCTTCCTCCATACTGCAGTGATGGATGACATGTCTAAAGATCCTGGAAATTAAGTAGTTCAGGTCATTAAAAGTGTCCCACACTTGTTATTGATTTAATTTATTTTAAAAGGTGGGGGTGGAGATAAGAATGTTACCCACCCCCGTCCCCATTTTTTTTTTTTTAATCTGAAAGCTACCACTTGTACACATAATTAAAACTATTGCTTGGGTGAACAGCTCTGTATTTGTTACATTAAGCTTTACTATTCAAATAGGTGTTATGTTACTCTCTTAATCTGATAACTAGAAACAAGTAGATTATCATTGTCACTTGTGTTAAGGCACATTTCCTTGGAGCTTCATATATATAATGATTGCTAGAACCTAGGGTTCTGGGCACCCCCAACATTTCCTCAGTAGGTAAAAATTCAGATGAAGGTCATTTAATTGAAGGAAATTAACTGAAATAATAATGAAAATATGCCTATGGATAGAGGATTTTTTTTCCCCTATGAATTTTTCTTTTTCTTGCTTTTTTTTTTTCTAGAACTCAAGAAATGAATAAATATTTTAGATAGATGTAAGGATAGATGGATGGGTGGTTGGGAAAATATTTAGAGAGTGGTAGACTTTTTCAGTTCTATATATATAGCTACATTCTAAGGCAAGTTTAGGCTCTGCGTGTTTTGTTTACTTATCATTATCTTTCTCTACCAGCCCGCACTCTACTGGACTGTTGTATTCACTGCCCTATCCCAGTACCTAACCTAATAAATAGATGCTGTTTACCTATTCAATAAATTATAACCCCAAAATACTGATCTTTGTTTCTCTTGTTTATTCCTTAAGCTTCAGTGGATACAGTAGGCTATGTAAAGAAGAGTAACAGCCCCAGAGAGGACTGGCTCTTGAGAAGACCCCTCTCCAGGGACCAAATGGCAGGAGGGTTGAGCATTAGTGTCGCCCAGAGGTCGGCCCACTTGGGCTGGCCACCTGATTCGTCGCTCACTCCATTTACATGTCCTGAATTGGGTGACAGTATTCCAAAACCCTGTAAGAAATGGGAAGCTCAGAATATAAATTATGGCTAAAAACAATACATTATGTAGAAGTTTGTGTATACAAGATATATATATGTAATTTGACCTTACTTTTATCATTTGTTATATATTGGGTTAGCCAAGAAGTCCATATGTTATTTTCTGTAAAATAAAAGACATATTTTTCATTTTTACCAGTAACTATTGATTTGGATATTTTGAGCGTGTCAGCTATCTCCTGCATGGTGTAACATTGACTGCTCTCAGTTAAGGTCTCTATTTGATCGCTATCAACTTCAACTGGTCTTCCCAACCATGGAGCATCGTCCACTGAGGAATCTCCAGCATGAAACTCCACAAACCACTTGTGACACGTTCAGTCAGGCACAGCACCTTCTCCATACACTGCACAAATCGTTTTTTGTGTTTCAGTAATGTTTTTACCTTTCTTGAAATAATAAAGCATAATATGCTGAAAATGTTGTGTATCTTCTTCCATTTTCAATATTAGATTGGCTGCACAAAAATTCACCAATTTTGATGTTTTTTTAAATGCATGCTGATATGACAGTTGTCACAATACAGTCTAACAAAATTGTTTCAAATGAAGTTAAAGACAACTAAGCACTGCTAGAGCCAACGTATAGAAAAAACTAAATGAACTTTTGGGCCAAACCAGTACTTTACGTATCACCTTGCAGAGCAGATCCTGGCCAGCTGTGTGAATGATATATTCTCATTGTTCTTTAAAAAACATGTGTTTATTGGGGGTGGGGAGGAACAGCCATGGTAAATAATGAAAATGACTCTTGAAAATAGATTAATTTCAGAGATTAATTTCATTCTTTGATGCTTTTTCCATGATCTTTGCAAAATAAAGAGGGAAGGACAAATGTGCAATCAGTTCACACCCTCTGGCCTGATCTTTTTAACTCTTTTTAAAAAGTAGAAGCATATAAAAATGCACTCTATAGTTCTCCATTAAATTTCCCTTTGAAATTGCATGATTTGGATATCCGAGAACTGACATGGTTATGCCATTATGCCACCTCTTTAGCAGAGCTCTGTAAATGGAACAACTCTATAGATTTTTTTTCAGCATATTCACTGATTTACATTTAGTGGTAAAGTTGTTTCTGACCCTTTAAGTGGAGCTGTCCAAATAGCAATAAATGTCCGCTGATCCTAATGGTGAAACAGGTGATAGCTGAGGGATCTTGACTAAATCTTCCAGTTAAAAAAGCCATGTCTAGCATTTTCTAAATAGTAGTGATCTCTTGTAGATACACACACACCCTCCCCCCCAAGCCATGTTGTCACTCAGTAAGGAAAATTTAATGTACATATTGTAACAGTTTTGTTGATAGTGTCATAGGTTTTTGAAATGATTGCTCTGGATTAGAATCTGTATGAAGGCAGGAACTGTGTCTGCCTGGTGCCCCCATATGTTTCCCTTATCAGCGTCTGAATAGTAGCTGCTTTGTAAATACTGTTTGGGTGAAAGAATAGATAAAATAGATAAAATTTGCTGCCGCTGAATAAAATGTGTGTCAGCCTGAAATCTTGGCAGGTAAAATGGGGACCATGCCTAATATTGATGGTGAGGAATGACGCTGGTTACAACTTTGATGGATGGTTATGACTTTTTGAAATAGTTCATTTGATTGATTGCCTGGCAAACTTTACTTTCTAAATCTGTTTTCTGCTTTCACAGGCTGTCATTTTAGAAAATGAAGAACTTCCCAAACTGTTTCTTGATTTCTTAAACATACGGCACTTGCCGTCCCTACCAAAGACAGAGAGTTGTGGGTAAGAATTGTTTACTTATTGGACATGTATTTTATGTTACTCTTCAGTCAGTTATTGGCCTAACAAATCTCCCCCAGTGGTGCCAGAAGGGGCAGTCTGGCCGCACCCATCCTCTGGCTTGGGACAGCACTCGCTGGCCCCCTGCTTGTAGTCAAAGGAATACCTTCTGAAGCCTCCTCGCCACATTGCGATCCAGGCACCACTGTGGCCCAGCAACAAACGCTCAGTAATGCATGTTTAGACTTGAGGAACTCACTTTTTAAATTATTCTACTACATGGGACAATGTTCCACGATGGGAATTGGGAATCTAGATATCCTGTTTATGGACTAATATGTTTATTTGTACACATGTGAGCGAAGTCTGTATATCCCCTTGGCACACCTATATTCATATAATTTTGAAGTTATAAATGACCTTAAAGATTACATACCTGACTCCCTTTATTTTAGAGTTGAGCTTTCCTAAGGTCTCCCTCATTGTAGCTGGCAGAGCCCCAGCCTTCCAAGTTCTCTCCCCCACTGCGAAAAGTTCCCTCAGGAACCTTTAATGCCAGCTATAGAGCCTGACCCCTGTCTACCAAGGGACCAGGCCTTTAATATCATCGGCCATCGGGAAACATTTCTTCAGAAGGATTAACTCAGAAATAAGCTGCTCGCCCAGCTCTGGGCACCTCACTTGTGTTGAGCCTATTACTGAAGGTGGTCGGCAATATCCCTGACATATTAAATCCATTTACAGAGAAATATATCATCTCAAACTCTCTGCATATTCAAATGGGGAAGATGCTTTTATCCATTTTTCTGTCTGCCTCCAGACCTGCCTGAAGGACCCACACTAACTATAAGACGTTCAAGCTAAACATACCCAAACTCCTCTTAAATCCACTGTCTGCTGAGTGAGAGGCAGCAAATACCTGTCACAGCCACCTCACCAGCAGTGTTTACCTTCTGTCACCCCAGAGCAAGGACTGTATGCCCAGCTCACCAGATCATATGTGTTGTCAGTGTGCCCCAGCGTGTCCTGTTCTAACTTGCACGTGTTTGCTGGGAGGTTGGGACTCATACACAGCTGTGTATTTTTAAGAAGAGATGTTGGAAATGGCAGTGAGTGAAATCTTTTCTCCATTATATAAATTTAGAAGTAAAAGTATAGGATTTTAAAGTGGTCTTTAGGAAAATCGAAATTCAAGAATATTGCAGTCTTAAGATTCCTTAGAACGATGCACCAGCAACGCGGTGGTTCTGTGTAATCACCTTAATCCTTTTCAGAATGTCTCCCAATTTAGAGCTTTAGGAATACTGGCTATGTTTTTTCTTTGTTGGCATCAACACTGACCCAACTTATATGGCTTTTTCTTTTTCTTTTAAAAACATCTTTTTAGATCTTTTGATGAGACAGAATCGGAAGAGTCAAGGTAAGAACTAACAGTAGTCATTTGGGAGTTATACTGTATAAATCAAGAAAAGGGCTGTGGTTTTGTTAAAGGTTTAGTTACCAGGGTATAAGTGCTTTAAGTCATAGTTTTTTCTTGGAAACCTTTGTTGGGGAATTGATTTTAAGATGATAAATATTTGATAGGAAGTTACAGAAGTAACCAGTTCCATCTAGGAATAAAAGAATCAGAGCCCTACATTGTTCCATACAAATAATAAGAATACTGTTTTTATCAATAATCATGCTACCACATGAAAAAAAACACTTTTCAGCAATGATTTATTGTATAGATTGTATATCTGCTTCAAATTCCACAAAGAAGTGTTGGGAGATGAGTGTAGTACCAGTTTGTTCCCTCCAACTCTGCTTGCTATTACTCACCCACACTGTTAGATACATAAACCTTGAGACGTCCCTGCACAGCAGTTTGATCCCCTCAAAGCTAGTTTGTAGTGTTTTCTGTTTACTGTCGTCCCCTGATGCTGACATGCCTGTTCTTGACCTTTCCAGCAAACTGTCCCACCAGCCGGTGCTGCTGTTCCTCAGGGATCCATACGTCTTGCCTGCAGCCAGCGGTAATCAAACCTGTCATCTGCTAACAGCTCTTTACTGATCTGACCCTGCACCACATAAACCACGTTTTTAATACAGGTCTAACAGAGTGTCATTGGTCCAGGGCTTAATAATCTGCCAATAAACCAGTGCTCTTGGTGTAAGAGACATTCAGAATTTTAATTGGGGTAGGCCTTAGGTGGAAATATAATTTTTCTTTCTCTCTTACCAGGCTATTTTTGAATTAGAGTAATAACGAAGGAAGCTATTTTGTTGCCTGTAATTTTTTTGGTGGTATTATTTTGGCCTCTAGTTGTTTTCATCCTGATGCTAGTATTTGAATCCAAGGCTCTTGTCCTTTTTAAAAATGCTACTCCCCAAAAGCTGCATGTATACGTTGGTTGTGTATCTCCATTTCCATTTAGATTACAGCATCTTTGATGGTCAAATATATATTTTTAGAAGTTGTATATTTAAATACACTGAATAATTTAAGTGTAAATATAATCAATATATTAGCCTGAGCCCTTTCTTTATGCCAAGAAATTTACATGAGTCCCTTTCAAAGCATTTCATGGTGCACCGCTTCATGAGTGCATTCTCAGACATTATCTCACTTAATTTCCATAACAACATTATGAAAAAGACAGAGCAGGTATCCTCATTGGTTAATGAGAGAACTGGAGCTCAGGGAAGCACCTGCCTTGTCCGGTTTCACATGCTGATGCGGGGACCCCTTGTTGCTGAATTTCTCCTTCTGTGCACTTTGCATATAGTAAGTTTTCAGCCTTTGTTTCTGAGAGCAACTAAATAGCATAGCAACAAAATAGCTATAGATAAATTACCTATTGAAACCATACCTACATTCTGACAATAAAAGCTTATTCCCAGGAAGAGACAGGGGGTTGTTCTGGGTAGCAGGGCTACATGTACTCAGATCACCCCCTTAGCTGTCATTTGGAGAAGGCTGGCTAGGGTGCAGCCTGTTCTGCTGAGGGACCGTTCCTAGCACCCTGCCCAGAGAGACCTGCCCTTGCTCTGTAAGAATATGGTCTCATAGGAGGCATTATCTTTCTTTAACATTTGCTTCCCATGTTAACAAATATGGATGTTATATCAGTTGATGTTGTGTTAACAAAATGTTATATTTAACACATACTCATAATGTAATCTCATCCAGATTAAATGGGCAATGTTTTATAAAGCATTCTTACTATCTTTAAAAATGGTTTCACAGGTACTCTTTCCAGGTATTGTTCATACTCAGATATTTTATGCATTTGACTGAAATTCCTATAGAAGCATAGAGTGGCATAATCATTGTGGACTAGAATCACTGAGGTATTTTATGGAAGAGGGAAGATATTTTATGACCCTTAAATGCAATTTATCTAGCTTATTAGACATCATGTGCTATGCACCTGGCTTGACAATGAAGAACAGGGGGAACTTCCTGGGAAAGGACATTGGCGGGCAAATGTCTGGAGCTAGAAAGAGTAAGAACTATGTATCATTTGTAGAATGTTGGTGTGGATGAATGACTTGCACAGAAAGGGGGTTCTTGTTTGAGAGTAAATGAAAATCACAGATTTGATGGACAGGAATTCGGGAAGGAGCGAACACTGAGTTTGCAAGGGATGCTGGTAGCAGTGCTGTTGTTTTTAGCAATATTTTTGTAAAGGCTTCCATAGGACAAGATCTATTTTCATGGGGTTTTGGCCAACCCAATTTCATAACTCAGGTTCCTGCTGCCCTAAAAGTATTTATACTAGTGACATAGTCTTGCAAATCTTTAACATTCAGTTTAAAGATAAATTGTGCTTACATCACATTTTGTTGTCCTGCCTCCTAACAAAATGTTACGGTTACCATTCCAGAGGATATGGATGTGAATACAGAAATATCTTATCAGATATATTGACCTTCACAAAATTAGAGGAGGGTCCATCTTTAAATCTCTAACAGTTTAACATTATCCTCTTATAAAATGCTAATAGTGAAATATTATTCTTTCATATGCTCTTTGGCCTTTGTTTTGACTTTTCTGAAACTTAGAACAACTTTTGCCAAGGTCCCCAGCGACTGTAGTGTAGCTAAAGTCTATGGACATTTTTTTAGTCCTCCTGTTACTTAACCTCTAATCAGCTTTAGCCCTTTCTCCTCCATCAAACATCATCTTCCCTTGGCTCTCTCACTTTTCTACTGTTCTTCAGCTCTCTGGTAGCTCACCTGAAGGCTGTCATAGACTCTTCTCACATGACAAAATTTTTTTTAATAATCTCCTCCTTGCTTGTGGCCTTGATTACCTTGTGTAGACCGCTGAGTCACCATATCCTATTTCTATCCCAACCTCCTGTGAGCTCCAGGATCTTACCGTGGTTACCAGGCCCACATTCCTGCTGGGACCCCTCCCCTACTCTGCTCCAGCCACACTGGGCATCTTGGGGGTTAGCGTCAAACATACTGACTCCTCTTCCCCTCAAGGCACTTGCTGTTTCTTCCTCCAGGAACCGTGCCCCTCCTGGTCCCCACACATCGTTGGCTCTCTCGTCGTAGGTGCACCTTCTCAGAGGCTCTGCTGACTCTCCTGTCAAGTAGCCTCCACAAGCCCCTATACCTCATGCACCTTTTTTAAAGGTTTATAATAAATGTTTTTCAAATAAATGAAAACCAACAAAAATAACAGCAAAACCTATCCTAAGTCATATTCCCTTTCATTGATGGGAAACCAAGGCAAAGACAACTTTCTGAGTTTTTGAACAATGGTGCAGATTGCATTAACTCATACATACAATGAAGCCAGAAATCACAGCTGAGAGGGGCGTGGAACCGATGGTGGCGGGAGCCGGAGTTACCTCTGATTATCTCATCATTGGTCACTGGAGGGTGGACCTTTTTATAAAATATCTGTTTCATTCAGTTTTATTAGAACAACCAGTTTGCTTCCTTTCTAGCAGTGATCACAAACTTCATCTCCTTTCTCTCTCTCTCTCTCTCTCTCTCTCTTTCTCTCTTTCTCTCTCTCTCTCTCTCAGTATTGACCTATTTCAATACCACAGAACTACCCAATGTATTTAACATTATTTTTCTTTTTGCACTTTTTTGCTGAATTTAATTGAATCCTCTTAAGCTAAATAAGCTATGATGTAATTTCACTAATCTTCCAATAGACTTTTATGTTTTAGATGGCAAAGGATAAATGCATATATGCAAATGGTTGTAATATGTCCTACCTTGGCATTTTATTGAAAGTTAATCAACAGCTTCATATGGTTATTGGTTTCAATACACTTCTGTGTAGGAGAAATACATTTAGAATTAAAATTAGCAGCTAAATCACTGCTTTTGATTGGGATCTAAATATACTTCAAAAGATAGTTTTTAGAAAATACAATTTTACTTCATGCTGGATAAAAGCAAACACTAAGAAATCAAATGTGATGATCCAAAAGTAATTGAATACTCATGTATCGGAGATATTTTTTAAAAATATTTTGTCTATTTATTCATCTGCTTGTCTGACTAGTATGTAATTTCCATTGGCATAGTTGGGTCTATTGTTTACTTATATTCCCAGTAATTAGCCAGTACTTGGCACGTTGTAATACTAGCTGGTACTTACTATGTGCCAAATTCAGGCCCAAGCACTTTGTTTCATTCACCAATTTTTACAACAACCTACTAGGTAGGTACTATTAAGAAATCCCTCACCAGTCATGTCGAATCCATCACCACCTTGAACTTGCTCCAGTCCAGTCTCTGAATGGTAGCCAGAGTCATCTTTTCGAAACAAAATTCAGTTCCGACTCAGTCTGCTTAAAATCCTTGGATAGCTTCTCATTGCTTTTCAGGAAAAGCCAGAATTCCTGTCTATTCTTAAATTGCATCCTCTCTACCCACCCTCATCCCTGCCCTCAGGCCTCCTCACAGCTTCTACTACCCTAGCCTTCCTTTAGGTCTCTGAACCCTCCAGGCTCCTTCCCTACCGAATTTTCACCTGCTTAGCTACCCCTTCCTGATCATCTACTCCAAGAGCCTTTCTGCCCCCCAATGAGGTCCAACCCTCTTGTTAGTGGTCTCATGTAGGAGGTACCCTGTAGAGGTTGGATTAATAAATGAAGGTATTATTTTTTGTCTTAAAGTATAGGACCACTTAATTTCCTTATAATTTATTTATTTATAATGTATAATGTATTTATTTCAAGCGGTTGGCTTTAGCATAAATACAGGATACATTGATGTGCAGATTGAAGTTTAGAAAATAAATTTCTGAGCCATGTGATAGATTGGTTCCCCTGTTCAAGTGCTGCACTCCTGTGTTACCTGCCCTGATAACTGGGATGTGGTACAACACACATAGTACAGCTCTGGGTTTCCTTTGTATCTCCTATAAAAAACGCAGCTGATTTTTCAAATTTGACAGGACAACTTTTGTCGGAAATTTGCCCTTTTAAGTTAGGAAGACAGGCCCCCATCTTCCTGCTCACTAGAAGCACGCGTAATAGAACAGGCATGCTCAAGGCAACTCAGACTAAACCAGCCGCTGTAAACCACAATGGAAAAACTGCAGCAAAGTATTCCCAGTAGAAATCTTGGAATTCCTTCAAGTATATTGAGATTTTGTTAGAAATTGAATTGCCAGTGTAATCCATCTTCCTTGTGAGAAAACATTCAGATAAAGAGCTGGGGCCCAGCAGCATTAACCATTAGAACATCCCTTAAATCAATAAGCTACAAATCTGGCCACGCTTTCTTGCAGCGCCCGGTGCCATGCTAAAGTGGCTAGAGGCTGAAGCCATTTGACGGATAGCACATTCGAACCCAAACTGCCTGGCAATGCAGATTTCCTAAGTCACGATGGGCCTTCCCTTCCCTTGTTAAACTCTGCAGAATGCGATGATATTTTACTGATGCATGTAAGAAAAGCAGTTTTCCTTTTGTTTTTCAGATTTTCCAAATGTGGTTATTGAAGGAGTTCTCCATGGAATATTCTACCCTCACCTACAGCCCAGGTAGAAAGCCTGCATGGCCAGAAGAAGCTGAAGCCACTTTCAGAGTTGTAGTCACAGAAATCGATATCTACCAAATTAACCTAAACTCTAGGACATAACAGCTCTAGCTAGTGGTAAAATCCAGTCCCAGCTTAATTCAGGGCAGGGACATTTCCATTAGAATGGTGCTTTTAAAAATAGAAACTGAACGAGGGCTTGCTGAGGTTAAGGCCAAAGGTTTAAGAAGTAGAATGTAGCTGCCAATTTAGAAATCCAAGAAAAGGAGGCTGTACAAGATCCCCGGAGCACCCCGTGCTACAAAACAAAGTGACTCTCAGCTTCACCGGCCATTTGCTAATTGAAAATCTCATCCTGAATCGTACTGAGACTGATCAACTCCGGTAGCTTTTGTGACACTAATCTTTTTGTTATGAAGTTTTTTTTCTCAGCCAGTGATAGATACATTCTGAAGGGCTGGGTCCAGGAGAGTATCACAGAAACACACTGCTAACTATGATGGAGGAACTGCCATGTTTTGCTGTGTATAATGCACACTTTTCTCCCCCAAATTTTTGAGGGAAAAGTAAGGATGTGCATTATATATGGGTATAATGACTATGTAATCCCATGTATAATGTGCACAAAATGTGGATGCGCATCATACACGGCAAAATAGGGTAAACTGAAAATTAAATGATGCTGACAATAGTAGGGCACTTTTTAAACCATGGCATTTTAAATATAAATAACAGTGGAGTTGCGTCATACCCAGAGCATGGCTTCTAATGCCGGTCCATTGGATATAACGGGGTACCAAGATTATCCTTGAAAGCCCTTTAGAAAGGCACCATGTTGGAAATCTGTCCATCTACCACGGCCAGTTTTTCCTCCAGTGTTGGAAGAAATGACTGTTTCTTTTGTTGAAGAACAATTGAAGTTGTTGTTTGTTTAGGGGCTATTTTGTATTTAAAAAAACACATACCTTCAAACACTAGAATTACACTTATTCCTGAAAGACGCTTGCCCTCTACGAGACAGAATGGGAACTGACAGAGCCTAAGGGAACAGCACAGGGACAGCACTCAACTCGGTTTTCCCAAGGGCGTCTATTCATTGAATAGATGGTATTGTCATGAGATTTACTGTTATGTTCCTTACGGTTTCCTTTTCGCTGACCTCGAATCTTGAATTAATGTAAATTGAATGTGTTTATGAGATGACTCCGCTGTACATCTTACATTCATTTTTGAGTAGTAAAGAATATAAGCAAAAATGCAACCTGTATGTATGTGCTGTATTTAGACATTTCATTGAAAACTAAATTAATAGCTAGGTTATTTATGATTATTCATTTTAATGAGCTTCTGTGTGGGAGAAGCATATTTAGATTTAAAACTAATTACTGAATGATGTTATTTGATTAGGATATAAATAGACAAGTTTAAAGCCTGCTGCAAACTTTTAGAGATGTATTTATGATAGATATGTTACTACTTACTGGAAACAAACGAGAACTAAAAAATCAAGTGTCATCCACCAAAAATAACTGAATAGTCAAGGGTTGGAAATATTTTTTAATGTTTTTGTTATTAGCCATTTTGAGTTCAATAAAAACAAAGAACAAGAAATATTTGAATTTGTCTTCTGCCTCTAAGATTTTATTGTAAATTACATCTTGTCTCTCTACACACATATACACACACAACGTCTCATGGATTCACATAGACATTTATTTCTAATGTGACAAGGTGTTAATTGTATCATCTCTTAAGCCAAAAAGTACTCATTAAATAGTTTTGATTTACCAAGATAGTGACTCTTTTTAAAAAAATAAAGACCAGGCATCTCTGATGGCACACCATGCAAGAAATATTTTTTGAGAGTTAATATATTCTTAGTGATGACTTTCATTTTTTATTTTTATGTAAAAGTAATTTCATATTCCATTTCAATTCCATTGCAGGAAATAGAAATCACGGTAGGTATTTTAAGCAGACTTAAATAATGAGACACTGAATACTTACAGAATCTTTGAAAGGATGAGGGGGGTGAACTCCAAAGGGTCTCCAAGAACAACTTCGAGAAGATTCCAGCCAACTCCAGTGTCCATATGCCAGGGGAGCTACAACCTCTGCCTTAAGCAGGAATTCAAGGAGTCGGGAGGCTGCTTCTGGTGCTGTCGAGGGGAAAGCCACCACTGCAGTCGCAACCCAAGGACCGGCGTGTAGGATCAGGGGGTCCCTGTGACCACCATTACTGTCTCCTAGTAGCGCCCTGGCAGCTGGTGAGTGGGCGCGGGAACAAAGTGTCTAGCTGCCTCCACCTGCTCCACAGTTGCCTCTGCATCCGGGGCCTTGGCTTGCCAGCAACGACAGCCCAAGGCAGCAGGAAGGTGGCGTTGGCCCACTTTCATCTTCTACTCCACATCCCGTGGAAGTCCACCCATGGCCAGCACATTGTTCTTGATCCCCAGCTTCAAGGAGATCTGGGAAGGAGTTGGAACTTTCTGGTCTCTGCAGCTCAGGGATGCACATTGGGAAGATGATGGAATGTATTTCCACAGTTGAAAATTTAATAAAAGGATATACTGTAAAAGAAAAGCCCCCGCCCCGTCACCTGTGTTCCCAATTCCCCTGCCGCAGACAAGCATTGTACTTAGTTTACATGTGTACTTCTGGAGAGATTTCATCCACTTGCAAGCAACTAATGCATATTTAGTATATATTCCATCTTCCCCCTATTTTTACAAAACATCAGTTTTTCAAAGCATGAGTTCATAGACAATAGAGAAGAAAAAAGTAAAGGGAAGAAAACAGAATAAAGAAAAGGAAAAGAAATCTCATCACCAACTTAAGGCCAGAGTATGGGACAGACCTCACCCCCCCCTCCCCCAGTTCTTAGTGATTTGCCTGGCACTGATCTCATACTGTCTCCCAGTGCTGTTTGAATGCAGAGCCTCCCTCAGGCCTCTCCTCCATCACCCGGCAACCCTGCTGTCCTTTCTACGCCCCCACCCCACCCCATTTCAAACGGTGAGCCATGCGTGCAACCTCAGCAACACTGCGACCATCAATGCCTGGTAAATCCTCTGGTCATTTCACTGTGAAAAGTGTAAAAATCTCATGATCACAATCTAGAAATAACAAATGGCTTTTCTCTCACTTGCCAACTGTGATTATTGATAATGGCTGCCTGAAGTGCTCTTTAGGAAGGATTCTGACACACCCATTAGAGTCGCCACTCTCGAAAAGGAAAACAAGTGTGGTCCAGGATGTGGAGGCATTCACGCCGTTACACATGGCTGGTGGAAATGTAGAATGGTGCTGCCTCTGTGGAAAGTGACATAGCAGTTCTTCAAGAAATTAAACACAAAATTACCATATCATCTAGCGGTTCTACTTATGGATGTATACCCAAAACAAGGGGAAGCAGGAAGTCAGATCCTGGAACAGCCATGTTCATAGCAGCAACATTCTCACTAGCTAAGAGACGGAAACCACCCAAGTGTCCATCAATGGATGAATGGATTAACAAAATGTGTTATATACATACAATGGAATATAATTTGGCCTTTAAAAGGAGGAAATTCTGATACATGCTACAACATGGGTTAACCTCGAAGACCTTATGTCAAGTGAAATGAGCGAATCACAAAAGTACTTAATATGAGGTACCTAGAATAGTTAAAGTCATAGAAACAGAAAGAGAATGGCGGTCACCACAGACCGGAGGGAGGAGGAAGTGGGGAATTAGTGTTCAGTGGGTTGCAGTTGGGGAGATGAGAAAGTTCTGGAGCTGAGGATGGTGATGGCTGCACACCAGGGTGAATGTACTGAATTCCACCGAGCGGTACACTTAAAAATGGTTAAAATTATAAACTTTGTTATGCACATTTTTATGACAATTTTTTTAAAGTTTTTTTACAAAAATTTTGAGGATGGGCTCAGTGGGTAAAGGTATAGTAAGCGACTGATGATGTTAACCAAGGGAACAAGAGGAATTTGATTCAATTTTAGGGGGTCCACAGTGGCTTCAGAGGAGGCTGGTCATAGTTCGTTTGGGCTGCTATAACGGGTGCCGTAAACTGGGTGTTCGATAGACAACCCAGATCTATTTCTCACAGTTCTGGAGGCTGGGACGTCTAAGGCACATTTAGTGTCTGGGAAGGGGCTCTCTTTTCATGGTGTCCTCACTTCGTGGAAAAGGGGCGAGGAATCTCTATGGGACCTTGTTACTAAGGGCGCCCCAAATCATCTTCCAAAGGTCCTGCCTCCAAAAACTCTCACATTGGGGATTAAGTTGCAACTCATGACTGAGCGGGGAGAGGCACAAACATTCAGACCACAGCCGTGAGCATGCCAGACAAGTTTGATCAGTGCACTTGATTGATGCCGTATATGAATGCATATTTATTTATTCATCTACTTGTTCAGTGAAAGCACTTTGAGTTTCTCCAGTGGACTAAAGCACTGTGTTAGTCACCTAAAGAATAAAGACGTCCTTGTTTTCTGGAATTTTCAGCCATTTACTGGGAGTGCCTTTCTGTTTAACTGAATTGGATGTAAAGTTCAATGAATAAGGCTCCCTTCTCCAGGCTCTCTGCTCCACTTAGAAGCAATCCCTTTCACGTTGACTTGCTATTGGTTTCCATCCTTGCTGATAACTATAGATTGGGTATTCAACAGTAGAAACCCAGGGAAATAGCAGACACTAACTCTAAACTGAAATTTCTGCAACATTTTTGTCCATTCAGGTACATAGTGATGATCTGGATTCTGATGCGGTAAAGAGGCACTTATTTTTGTGTGAGAGGAGGGAGGTTTAACATTCAAATGTTAAGCCATTGGACTCTATGCAATTTACAAGAGAAAAAAATCGTTTCATATCCTAGGAGTATAATTGTAAAAGTGACCTATTAAATGTAAACCATTCTGTGTTGGTTGCTCTAACATCAGCATGGTGGCATCGGCAGCGTCTCCAGCTCTGATACTCTGTTCATTTACATGCTTTTGTGTACCAGGATCCTGCTGGGTGCTACGTGCTCGATTAGGGCTTTTCATACTTTATTCCATTATAACTTTACAACGCTTTATGAACTTTTATTGAAGAAGAAATTGAAGGTAGATTACTTAAGCACTAATTAATTAATCACAGATTGATTAAGCAGTAATTTGGGGGCCAAGACGTACTGGGCTAAATTCTGTCCACAGCTTATCCCATTGAAGCATTGCAACATCTTTATGAGTTAAGTATTATTACTTCACTTTACAGTGAGAAAAATGAAGACTAGAAAGGCAAAGTAGCTTGACCAAGGTCCCCAGTTAATAAAGAAGGATGAGGGTTTAAGCCTTTCTTCCACAAAGCCTTGGCTAATCCGCTCCCCCAACAGCCCCGGGACATGCATTTTGAACCACACATGAGCACTCACGTTGGAAAGAACTAGGTGTGAGAGTTGCTGATATTTCTACAGTACATTATAAATTACAAAGTGCTTCCCCATCTCACTTGACTAAACCAACCTCTCCATTCTGAGCTGCGGCCTCCTCCCAGGTCTCTCTGCTCCCATCCTGCACATGAGAGCCGGAGCCATCTTTTGAAAATGTCCAACAGATCATGTCACTCTCTTGCTCAAAATCCTCCAATGGCTTCCATTCCCTCTTAAAATGGAAACACCTGCCATTCTCTCCAAGTTCCTTTGCACTCCTCTTGCTTGTACTCATCTTATTGGCAGCACTCACCTACCAGTTCCCAGGATTTTCCAACCTCAGTCCAGGCTCCGGTCCTTCTGCACCTGCTGCTCTCGCTGCCTGAAGCACCATTTCCGCCTCACTTCAGAAGCCCAGGTCATTCTCAGATGTTAAGACTCGGCCTAAATGTCACCTCCATAAAGGACCCCACCACAATCACCCCCGTTCCCAACTCCCCCTCCACACCATTATTCTATTATAGCAAACTTCCTTCCTTCATAGCTGTTACCGCCCTCTGAAATGACCCCGTTTGTCTATTTGTTTACTGCCTTGCTCTCCCCATGAGGGCAGGGGCGGTGTCTGAGCGTTGACACTTTCTCCAGTGCAGACCTGGGTAGATCTCAGGAACCACCTGGGGGAGTAGATGGCTGGCAGCCTGTGTTCCTGTCACCTGACTTGGCACTGGCTACATGCTTCACAGAAAAGGCTTCGTAAGTGTGGGGTGAGGGGGTGCATCACCTTGAATTTAGGATTTGCTAACACCTTCCCAGATTACCATGATTCATTATATCCTGAATGTTCTGAAAACAGTGATTTTCTGCAGTTTGCTGACCAATTTGAGTAAGCATATACACTTGGAGGATTTCTTAACTGTCCTTATTTACAAATGAATAAGCTAATTTGGTGATTGCAAACAATGGTTTTATGACCTCACAGGAGAGCGGTGGTTGACGTTGGGACCCTGGACCAGCAACACCAGCAATCACCCATGAAGCTGATAGAAATACAGAGCATCAGGCCCTGCCCCAGTTCCAGGCCTGGACACGCTGCGAGCGGCCTGGGCATCTGGCAAGCCCTCCAGGGAACTCTGAGGCGCAATTAAGTTGGAGAACCACAACCCTAGGACATTTCAAGTTATTTTCATTTTGCATGTTATTAAAAGGTTTAA